TCATTATTTTGACTAAGTATCTCTTTATTTTGACTAAGTATCTCATTATATTGACTTAAAGAATAACTTTTTCCTGTCACATTGGCGGAAATGGGCTTCCATAGAAAACGTCTTTCTCCTATTTTATTACTTGGAATAATCTGCAGAATTTACGTCTTTGGAAACATTTAAAGCCCACGTAACTGCCTTATTTGAGCTGGATTTATACTGTAACTCGGCCTCGGAAAAGGGATTTCAATCTCAAGGGATTTCCTGGTTAAATAAATAAATACATAATTAACTTGTGGACCTTTAATTCATTATAATGTTTTCTTTAAATGCACAAATTAAGTACAAAACTGGAAATAAAAACAGTCCCAGACTTTGCAGAAACCGTGCGTGAACCCAAATATTAGCCGAAATCTGTGTCAAATACATTTTTATTTTCAAATAAACCAACGTGACTTGCTTTCAACAATGCATCAGCCTGCTACTGATAAACTGTGATCAACACTAAGCCACAATCTATGATTTGTAAAGGTGTCAGACAGTGAAACTACCTATCGTAGTGACAAATTAACAAACAGTGACGGGTATCCTTAAAAGTAATATTTCGAATCCCTTTTAAATGACAGATTTTTCTTTGCACTTCGTCTGTTTATGAACTGGGCATTTTCTCACAGTAGGTATTTTTTAAGGCTTTCAGGCCGCGTTAGTGTTACTGTTACAGATTGTGGCTTTGGTAGTTATACAATCTTTGAACTGTGATTCCTCGTTAGCACCGAGTGCCGATTGTCTCACATCTCAAGTAAGATCTCACCTCCGTTTGTCATTACACATTCATAAATGTACCAAAATACTATATAATGATATAAATACTGATATAAGGTTGTTTTTTTTGTTTTTTTAAATAACAAGTAAACCACATACAAACACTCAAACACATCAATCAAGACCTGTGTAACTTATACATTTCAAATGAAGTGCTGCTGATCTTTCAGCATGATACATTTCAATGATGGCAAAGTGCAAAGACGGCAAATTTCAGTAATGCACCAAGAAAAGCAGCATCTAATAAACATATTCACTGTGTTTTCTGTGACAAAGCAGCTCCAACGTGTAGCTGTGTGGCTATAAAGGGGAAAATGCTCTTCTGGTAACTGAGTTTTTGCAGTGAGTTCTGCTTTAAAGCCCCCAAATGTTTGCACTCGTGTACTAACTGATGTGCTGGATTAAGAAAAAGCTTCATATAACATTTGATCAACAACAAAAAGGCAACTACACGTAACGTTTCTTAAGAAAATACTTCTACTTTTCTTCCGTTTATTGATAAAGGCCTCTTGTTCAAACTTTACTTTCACTAGAAATTGTTGTCAACACCTCGATCCTGACAGCTGTCTTATTACGAAGACGTCGGCACGACATAGAAGGCAACAACATTGGCTTGAAAAACATGATTGCACTGAGCTACCATCAATTATGTGCTGAATGGCAGGAAATACCAACACTGTTAATCAATGCATGCAACTTCCACAAATGCTGTAGATAGAGGAGGAGGAGGAGGAGGAGAGTCAGCCGGAGCAGACTTGTTCACTATCAAATATACAGCAGGTCGTCCCGCTCTCCTCCTGGTGATGAAGTGTGCAGTCATTATGATATCTCCTTCGCCAGCTCTACATTCTCCTTGGTGATCATGCTGGGTTCTCCTTTCTGTGTCAGGCTGTCTCCCTGCTCCTCCATCTGCTCCAGTTCTTCCAGTATGTTCTGAACGCGACGGACTCCGTCCCGTCTCGCCTGCCGCACGTCTACCCGACCCTCCGGGTCGACCGAGTCCAGCGCTAAGAGCTCTTTGGTCAGCAGCTCCTCCAGTAACAAGTATTTCTTATCATTCTTCTTTCCGGCAAAATATCTCACCTCCTGCTCCAGTTTGGCGACCCGGCCGACTATCTGCTGTACCTTAGCCAAGCCTGGGTGGACCGGGCTCTGAGCAGCCGGTTCTGTCTCTACCTTTGCAGGTGGGACCTCCGGGGGAACGGCCGTCATGTCCTGGGCCTCTGGTTTTGGAGGTATTTGAACTGTGATATCCGCAGTGTGTTGCTGTGGCTGCTCTGGTTTGTGGGGCTGCTGGAACTGTTGCTGCGACTGCATTAAGTGTTCGGGATGCTGAGGCTGTGGAGACGTCTGAGGTGGTGGCTGCTGGAACTGCTGAGGTTGCTGAAACTGCTGAGGTTGCTGAGGTGGAGGCTGTTGGAACTGTTGAGGTTGTTGAGGCTTTTGGACGTCAGCTTCTGCGTGGAGGAGCTGCGTGTTCTCGGGTTTCTGCTGAGTGATTTGCTGTTCTTGTTCAGTTTTCTGGGGCGGGTCTCTTGTGAGGACGTGCTGCTGAGTCTTAAGACGATAAAAAGAAAAGAAGAAGAAGAAGTCATTAGGATCCGTCGCAATCTAGGTCAACACATTGCTGACGCGAAGATCAAATATTTTTTGAACATCAAGGTAGAAAATCCACATGAAAAACACACAGAACTGTAATTACCTGTGGTCGTTCTCCCAGCACCTGCGTTATGATAGGTGACTGGCTTTTAATGTGAGGTGGGAGGTGAATGGAGTCGCGATGCTGGGGGAGCAGAATCGGAGAGGCTCTTTCTCGGGGAGGCGGCATCGGTGCGGAGTAGCCGGGCCACTCGTCGGTCTGAACGCGATGGAAGGGCTGCTGGTGCTCGGAGTACGGGACGCGCTGAGAGTAGACCGAGGGATTCAACTGGGGCTGCGTTTGTGCCGGGCCTCCTCCGCCCTCGTGGATCACCGGGATGGGGATGTAACCCGCTTGAAGGGCGGTGCTGCTGGGCCGGGACGGTTGGTGATGCGGGACAGCGTAAACCTTTGGAAAGAGATGAAACAGAAAACAGAGAAATTCAGCCGCTTTCGCTTGCAAATACAACAATACAGCGTGCAGAGTCTTCAGTTATACCTCCGCTGTTTGTGACGCAGGTGAGCCGGTCTTTCCGAGCTCAGCGGAGCAGCTGTCTGAAGGTCCGTGTAAAGGTGATCTGGGCCTGCAGTGGAGCCCTGGCGTCGGGGAAGGCGTCCGCCCGTCTGTGCGGATGTTCTGTGCGGCGCTCGGCTGGATGTAGGAATAACACGGATGCTGCTGCTGCCTCAGTTCTGCTCCCTCGTGGAAAACCGGGATGGGGACGTAACCCGGGCGGAGAATGGGGTGCTTCATCTCTCTCACGAAGGTCTTCTGGTTCTCCTGAGGGCTCGGTTCTGGCGGTATGTTGGGTCCATTCGCTGACACTTCTCTGACCTGAAACACAGCCAATAGCATGAAAACTGTTACACTGACGCTATAAATAAAGAATAAAACTACTCAAACCTTTTAATTAAAGACATTTAGGCAACATTGGTGTTGATTTTCTTTGCTTGTATTCAAATTATTAAACAATTTAATCACATAAATGGTTAGTTTAGAGAGTATAGTGGTGTCATTTAGAGTAAACAACACAAACTTTGTTGACTTTATGACCCTTAAACCTTATTTAAATATGAATTATTACATATTTAATAAGCGAGTATTTTATTTGTTATAAAATAATACAAAATTCTTCTCCTTACGTACTTTCATTTAGTAAAATATGTGCAACCCGGAGGTATTTTTATATAAGTGCTCTCAGTCCTGAGATAATTGCAAAGGTTAGAGGTTAAAATGTGACATTTCCACAGGGGGATGCCAAAAGTATCACCTCTTTGAGTATTTAATAATTAAATTAACTTCTGATTCCCGCAGACTTTAGCCGCATTTCCAGTCAGACGGTCGCCGTGTTTTTGATGTTTATTGCTCCACAACAGAGGCTGACATCATTCACCTGGCTGGATTTCCTGATTCATCCGCTCACAATAGTCCGGCACACCCTCTAAACTAACATGTTATTGGGTAATCATCATTATGTCGCACAGAGAGAGGGAGAAATAACTCGTTTTGCTTTCCCCGTTTGACTGATTTTGTGTCGATCTTCCTTCACTGCATCTGTTCTGGTCTTGTGTTATTGAAAAAGAGCATAAAATAATCCTTTATTATCCCACAAAGAGCAAACATCGGGGACATAACACCACAGTGAGAACAATGAGAGTAAATCTACATTATTTTTAAACTATTCTCAGTGTGTAACAAGTGTAACACCTACGGAGGAGCAACAGGTCTACTCATAGTTCAACTCTCTTAATCATTTATCTTAAAAAAAGTGATTAAAGCTTCAGCTACAGGAGCACACACACAAAAAACACATTAATATGTAAACCAGTGTGGCATTTCCCCCCCTGTAAGACAAAAAAACAGTTAGGAAATAGCTGTGAACGACCCTTTGCCCTCTGCCATTTCAGCATGGGACACTGCACACTGCCAGCACCATTGCACCAATTTTATCCCCTGACAGCTGTGTCTTTTCTAGCAGATTCTTCGGGACACTAACTTTGGACAACAGTGTCCAACCCTGAGACGAAAGATTACCAACTGGCAGCCCATGAAGCCCCTTCACACACAGGTTCCCCTCCCTCTATCTCTCCCCTCTCTGCGGACATTGTATGTTTCCACAACATGTATTTAATTAATATGATAATGTAAGACAGCCAGCGCCTCTTGCCATTCAGTATCACTCCACACACACACACACACACACACAGCTCTCAAATCCTTGTAAGCGGCAAAAAGTTTAATATGCCAGCCGGAGGACGTCGCGGCGGTTGGTTCCCATGCAAACGAAGAGGCCGAAAATAACCGTTATTATTAAAATCAGCGGTACAGGTTAGCCGTTCCACACACACACACACACACTGCAGGGTGACTCATCGAGTAATAATAGTGTTAGATCATGACACGGGAACATAACGGGGTTGATCACCCGTTATAATGGGCTTATGAGCTGTCTGTGAGGGGGAGGCGACGGTGCCCAACAAGGCCTATAACAGTCAACAAGATTAATATATAACAGTGATGTAGCGCAGGCAGAACGAGGCTGTAAACGCGCACTATTTAACGGACGGGGAGAAAAAAGAAAAAAAAACAGCCGTTGGAGAGT